TATATTTCTAATTTATATTTATATTTCTAATTTATATTTACATTTATGTATTTGTTAATGTGGATTTTTGTTGCATTTGTATGCGAGGAGAACGTTTCTTTCCATATTTCCAAATGTTTATTTTGTAATTTTCCGTATGCTTGCAATAATAACAGATCTGTGTCTAATGAGAAAATGGTTTAGTGTGATATATATTTGGTGGAAGTTGAGTTGGTTTGGTTATTGCTTCAGTCAGTCAGTTACCTGGGTAACTATTTGTCAACAATGAGAAAAAAAAAATAATAAAATAAAAAGAGAATAATCAACAATTATTATTGTTATTATTCTCATATGTTTTGAAAATTTAGGGAAGACTAGGAAGCAATATTTTGGTGTTTTTACCTAAACCTTACCCGGGCTTAGCGTTTCTGGTTTCATCTGCAAACACAGAAGAATGTGCTGAGTGTTTTGTTCACCTGTGAAAATAACATCCACTTTACTATTGTGCAGCTTATTCTGTTACTTTGTTGCACCAAAACCATTGGAAAAAGATGTCTTGAATGAGATTTTCTCATTGTCTTTTTTCTTTTCTATTGTTATCATATGTTGGGTTTTTTAAAGGTTTGATCTGATTGTTCCCAACAGACTGTCTTTATTTTCTTTTTTTTTATTTTTTATTAATTCTGTAAGGAAAGAAATGGAAAACTACATATTTGTTTTGTTGTTTCTAACAGTTATCCATTGAATAGTACAACTGTTGTTACCAATTGATTTTGCATCAATTTTCTTTGCTGTCATTTTCTTTTGCACTTTTTAAAGTTTTACGTCCTGATACATGCATTTTATTTTTTGACTACACATACAAACAGGCAGATAGATATATGGTGGAAGGAAGTGGGAAAGAGAAAATTTATTTTATTTTTAGAGTTTATTTTCTTTTGTTTTATATTCTTTTACTTATTTGCCTACATTAATAATTATTTTCATCGGTTTATTGGATGCAGAATATTGGTGCTTAGTAATTTTTTTTTAGTTTTTCTCCTCAATTTTTTTTTTTTTTGTGGCTCTATCACCATCATTAGCAGCGGCAGCAACAGCAGCAATAGCAGTGTTGTTTTCCAGACAGCCTTCTTTGCAGCAAAATGGTTCCAATATTCGGCTGTTCTCGGTCTGCCTTGGTTCAATTAGAATGAACATTTGGATTGTTTCAGCAGTTGCCCAAAAAGCAAACATTTTTTTGCGACTCAAATCCTAAACTAAACTTTAGTGGTTTCTAATTCTTTAAAGCATCAATAAGTTTTAATGGAAATTTCTTTGTTTCGCCTGTTTCATACTTGCTTTCTCTGCGACGCTTTCTTTTTTTCGTATGTATTTTTAATAATTTGACAGAATAAGTGCATTTACGATTGTCACTCAAACATTACTTTAACTATAGTATTATCGATATTTGGTTACTTTTTTTTTTTTTGATGTTTAAAGAAAAAAAAGACAGAAAAATGATATAATACTTGTTAAAGAAACAAAGTTAGATATTTGAATAGCATTTTCTGATTCTATATAAGTTTTTTGCTGTCAATATTTGTAGTTTTTTAAATTATTTAGCCTTGTACAATATATGTTATATGCAATGAAATTCAATACTTTTATAACATTATAATATTAATATATATAAATATTGATCTTTCTACGTATATACAAACAAATGAACCTTTTCTGAATGTTTAAATGGAATGAACGTCATTTAAAATGGCACACTCTAATAGGAGGCAATGGCTTTTCTCTTTATCATTTCTGTATTTATTCATGAAATACTAAATTATTGACCTAAAAATAAAGGAGGAAAAATTTTTATCTTTCTTTTTTTATTCTTTTTTTTTTTTTTTTGCTAAAACGAGTCAAATCTGGCCAAGCATATTTGTTTCACTCACTTCCTACAAGTTTTTGCATGGCTGTCTGAGATTTGTAGAAAAAGAGGAGTCGAGGAGAGGAGAGAGGAGATGAAAACGTAGGAAGAAGGAGACAGGTTGAGGGATGTATTTGCTGAATTGCCCACGAATTAGAAAGGAGGAAAGTGTTCCGGAAAAAAGCGGCAACGGTGCAATAAATATCAATTGTCATAAGGAAAAAAGCTGTTTTTTATGTCACATTTCTGTGTGTTCAACGTACAGTTCTTTGTCCTGAAAATTTCCATACATTTTTCTGCTGATTCTTTTTTCATAGAAATATAATTTTTTTAGATTGTATTGAATAAGAAATTTCGTTGATATCAACAGGGTTTTGTATTTTTAGTTGTTTAACTCAAATGTTTTGTTCGTAACGTTTATTTTTGTTTCGTTTCGTTTTGTTCGTCTTTTCACAGTGCACAGTTAAACTGGAAGCCCAACGTAGAAAAGGGTTTGCAACGTTGTTTTACGAAAAAAAAAGGTACACGCACCTTCATGCATAAACTTAAACGTAAGAAAAACTGACATTTGTCTGAAGCGTGGAATGGATGGGTCAGATTTTGGTGTACATTAGTTTAAGTTTGTCTATGTTTTCTTGACTTCAAACACTTTCAGCTTTCTATTGACAAACATGGAAAGTCGATTTCATGAGGAAACATTTGGCGATGATCGATGGAGAAATTTGGTATCTCAATTTTATCCTGTCTTCCCTCTGCTTTTTTTTCTTTTTTTTTCTCTTTTGCTTTACTCATCGTATTCAGCAAATATTTTGACTAGGATTATTAGCTTTTTTTGTGTGTGTGTACGTGTGGGTGTGTGCATTTGTAAGAAAAGCTTGTTTTTATTTTCTAAACTTCAGCTTGCTTTTAAATTCTAAGTTGTTATTACAACAACAAATTTTGTTCTATTTGAGATAGTTGTTAAAGAAGAACAGTGACAAAGTCACTAGTTTCATCTTCTTGTCTTTCATTCTGAAGTCTATTGGCTTTTCTGAATTGTTAAAGTCTCATTAAAGTTTACACATTAAAACTAAACTGATCGCTGTTATGTCGAATGGCCAAATCTCGCTGGATACTATGCTGTTTTTGTTTTTAACTTGAAATGAAAATGAAATAAGAAAAAAAAAAAGATTTGAAACTACGACTAGATGGGGAGAAAATTGCTCACTTAAGACTGTAGCAACTACTTTTTTGTTGTCTGATTCCTTTGATTTTATTGTTATTCTGTGCACTCTCCTTATACCACGCAATTTAATTGTCCTTGCCAATTTTTTCTGCTTGCCCGTCCTCACTGCTCAATAAAGCAATAAAGTTTTGAGCATTGAAGAACAGCGACAGCAGTGTGCAAGGATAAAAAAAGTTAAGGTTTTTAAAGCAACAATTGAGAAAAGTACTATTCACACAAAATTTGGAATTTGCTTTGGCTTGTCAAAAATTTACAGATAGCATTAGCACAATAAGTTAGTAGCTATTCGACGAGTAATGATGATGTACTGTAATCAGATAAATCTTGCAGCACGAATGGTTTGTGGCTGAAGCCAAAGACAAGGAAGCCGACGTGCTGTTTCTTGGTGATGACCATATTGCTTTGTTGGAGCAGTCACTGGTAATTCGCTCATTCATTCGTCGCCTTCATTAAGCTTCCCTTTCCCGCTTGCACTTGAAAGATGCTCTACGGGGGTTGTTCAGCGATTCGGTTGGTGAATTTAGGAAAGTAAAAGGGACTTTGAAATACCAAGTAGTTTAGAATCTGAAGGATGGACAGGAAAAAAGTAACAGAGGCTATTCAAACCAAATTCTGAGATGGCTAAAAATGCAATATTTTGTTTTATTTATATGAGCTAAGTATTTTAAATTTAATGTTAGTTGACGATAGTACTATTGCTGCCACCACTACTGATAATTCAGTATACCTCTTTTATTTCTCAATCTAAGCAATTCTTCATCATTTTCTAAGAGCTAGAAAGAAGAAAAAGGAATTAGTTGACTTTTCTTGTCGTTATCGCCATCTGATGTCTTGATCTGTTTCTGTACAATTGCCTTTCTGTAAAAGCGATTAAATTTTTGTCAAAGTTTCAAGAAGAGGGGATCAGAAAAAATAATGGTTCTGTAAAACAAACAAATATAAATGAAATTTTTTGAGTGTTTTTTTTTTCAAGCTATAAATGAGACATTTTGAAAAACGAAGGTTGTAGGGAGTTAAGTTATATAATTTCTTCAGATATATCGAGAACACTTTGCTCCTTTACATTGCCTGTGTTTTGGTGCTTTTGGAGAGCAAATAGCGAACCTGTTATGGCGGCTGGATAACAAGATTCTTGAAAAGCTAGATCCAAAGGTGAGAAACGGTACAATTTGATGCCAAATAATTCTGAAATTATTTCACGTACCATTATTTTGGCTCAAAAATTCTTCAGTTATACAGAGCAGGATACGAAATTTATAGCGCAGCCTGAATGAATTTTACTCAAAAGGCATAAAGTGTCATTTGCTGAGTACTTTCTTCTGCCAAATGAATGTAATCTTTTTTGCAGGTAATAGTAGTATCGATTGGTAATTGCGATGCACAGATGGGTAAGGAGGAAATGTTAGAAGGTTTAAAACGGATAGCAAAAAGTATAAAAGAATCAAAACCAAAAGCAAAGATTTTCTTTTTGGCAAGTGTTTTCCTGTATCTGCAGATCGTAATTTTATTTTATCGGTGTTTTTAGAAGAATTATAGCAGAATGGCATTAATATGCCATTCTGTTGTTTCTCTGCAACTTCGCCTGTTTAGTACTGAAAACTCCTTAAAGTTTTAGTCATTATCAAGTGCAAAATGATACACTTATTGGGTAAAAAATTTATTTTGTGCTCTGTTACCTTTACTGCTGGTTTTCATCTAAAACTGCTTGCTTACCCTCCTCTCATCTCAGCAGTGAACATTTTTAGAAATTGTTGCCAACCGGAAGACGCCCAAACAAGAGACGTGACTTTGTTTCAGAAGTCAATGATGCATTGGAAACCACTGTTCAGGATTTAGCTGAAGTTATTGATGTAGAACCGTCAATTCAAGGTTGTTACCTGCTGTGCTGTTGGCGAGTTGATAATCACCAAAGTTTTACACTCGTTTAGAGGTGTTAGTGAATTAGTAGTAAGTGATGCAGAGAAATATTTTAGGAACGGGTGGTGAAATAGATGCCTACGATATGTTCGATTTTGTGCATTTGACACAGGAAGGATATCGAAAAATATTTGATCCTGTTTATGTTGCTGTATCAGCGATTTTGAATCCAGAGGGATAAGCATTATCAACAACGTTTATTCCATTTATTACAGCTGGTTGCTTTCCTCTTTTACTTTAATTTTTTTTATGCTTTAGCCAAAACAACCTAGTTTTGCCTGCAGTTCTGTTAGGAATGTGCTTCATTCAACCAAAAAATTCCTTAAAATTCCTCTTGTCCGGATTTTGTTTAGCAATGTCATGCTTTAGGAAGCTGCTAATTTATTGCCACTTTTTTTTTTGTTAAGTCGTGTATTTTGACTTCATATACCGCGTTATTCCGGTGCTGAGACACTGCTAAAAGCTTTTATTTATCAACGTAAGTGAAGAAAGCTGAATGAGGTAGTAGAAAACTTTTGGCAAAAAAATTTTGCTGAATTTTGAATAAAGAAAATGGATAGATGAGTGATTTATTTTTTTTTGACCACGTCATGGGTTGTGCAGATTAAAATCAAAAGCAAAAAAAAAGTTTCAAAAATTTTATAATATATGGACGAAGTTTTAAGTCCACGTAAAAGACGCCCCTCGATATCGGTTGCTTTTAGTTTTTGGAAGATGCCAGCGAAAGAGAGTAGCCGAAAAGCCACAGTGTCATTATAGACCTATTTTAACTAACCACATTCAGAAGTTCGGCAGTTCTAGTTGAAATCATATTATTACTCAGGTCGCCAAATACTACTATTTTAAAAGTTTTCTCTCTTGTTTGCAACTTTTTAATGCAAAAGAAGCCGTAGAAGGCGAGTTTTCTTTTTTTTTTTTTCACTTAAAGACCAGTCAGTTTCATAACTGATTGTTTGTTAAGTGAGGAACAAGTGTAGAAAAAAGAAAAGACTTCCCCGTTGTAAGTCGAATCTTTTAAGCTACAAAAATAAAGTGTAAGTTTCTTTCAATTATTGAGTTTTTGGGAAAAAAAGCAGTTTTTTTTTTGTAAAACTTTATTGCTCACTGGAAGAGCCAATTTCAGCCACATACAAATATTTATGAGAAAATTTTAAAACATTTTATTCAATTTTTTTTCGTTTATCTCAATTAGGTGGTTATTGCAGTCCTGACGAAGAGTAGAGTGAAATATGTAGCTGTATTTTATGATCTTCAAATTGTTGCTGGACATGAGGGAGAACAGCAATTTTGCTAAAATTGTGGGCATTCTTTATATAACAGGCGACGATGTTGGTACTGAGTTCATATGATCAAGAAATAAAAAAAAAAAGTATTTTCTCCTATCTCTCATCTTTCTTTGTTTGTTTTTTTTTTGCTTAAGTAATTAGCTTGATTATTCTAGCTTTTAGCCTATGTCTAAATAATATTATTGCTGGGAAAAAGTTTTTTCAGCACTTTTTTTTGGAAATGTTTTGAAAATTATGATAGATGTGCGTAGTTGGGTGTCTACATGTGCTAGTCTGAGTATCTATGTACGTGTACCTATATGTGTGTTTATGTTCGTACTTGTTTGCATGCCATTGTGAACCGTTAATGAAAATGATGAAAATTTTGATGTATTCTGTATTTGAATGATATGTTATCGATGCTTGTTGTACATTGCGTGTTTTCTTGAAAATTTGTTTTTTTTTTATTCCTTTTCATGATTCGTTCTTTGCTGCCAACTGTGCTCTGTTTTCCCCCAGTCCCCCTCTATTTTCCGATCTCTTTATGCTAAAATTTTCTTTACTTATTCTTATCAAGAACAGCAAACGTTTTCATTTTTACAGTAAAATTTTCCATTATTTTGACATTTTCGTACATCTCAGTCAACTGTAACTGGTTGAATGGCAATGTTCCCATCTAAACGAAAGTTCAGTATTCCCGTATTTATTTTCTGCTTTTATCATATTATTTTTTTTTCAACACTACAGAAAACATTTACTATCCATTTGGTTTCTAACATTTTCCCAGTCACATAACCAGGGCTACATCAGTGCAGTAATAAATAAGAAATTTTCGCCGTGCAACCGCAAGGGTTGATGCTCCCTGGTGAGAAAAAAAATTATCCTGTTCTCCGTTATAGAAAAATGACTGGGAAAATTGGAGAAAGGACGCTCAGCGAGTAAAATCATGGAAGTTGATAGGGGCTGCGGAAGGAGAAAGAAGACGGAAGTGTTCCTGAATCATTCATTTTCTAAAATTTCAACTTCTGTATATCTATTACCGTCTTGCGCAAAAGCAAAAACGAGAGTGTTATAAGCAGCTGATTTTCAAAAATCCTGGACACCAGACAGTGCTATCATGGAAATCTTGGGAGTTTTTATCAAAGAAGTTACGAACTTGACGGCATCCTGTTGACATTTTTAGAAATATGCTCTTTCATAATATGAATTGAGCGTTAAAGTACCCTAACGCGTTAAGAGTTGGATCAGAACAAAAAAGTTTAGGACCGAAAATGAGGGATGGGAGGGGAGAAGCGTGCTTTTGTCAACCACCCTGTCAAAAAAACGGTAATTCGATCCTGTCGAGCACGCCCTACTTTTTTTTATTGATATTGTATCTGAGACTTACAAAATTGAGGTCAAAAAGAACAGAATTGTGGAAGAAAAAAAAACATAAAACGTAAACTTTTTGTTTTAAACGTCAATATTACCATAACGCCACTACAGGGGACTGTGACTATCATCATGGCAAAAAAAATTTTGAAGAAAAACAAACCGGTTTTATCACAATTCAAATGCAACACAACACAATTTCAGGCCAATCAATCCGCATATCCACACATAAAATGAAAAGTAATTATACAAAACCCGTAAAATCATTGTGAGAAAAGATATGAGTCACGAGGGATCACTGGAAACGGTATCGTCGGTACTTATCTTCCTTATAACCTTACCAGGTTTCTTGCAGTAAAGAAATTACAACTTATTAGACAAAAAAAAAAAGATACATCTCCCAACACCTCATATTTCAAATTGTACACTAAATTTATCTTGAAGAACAAAACGCGAAAGAGCTGACATTTGTACATACACAAGACAACTACGAGAGCCACAAAAGCAATGGATTGAGCAATTGATAGTAAAATGCATTAAAATATTATAAAGTAGAAAATCACAGATTTCTACGGTTTTTTACGTAATAGCAGAATTCTTTCAAAAAACTGCCCCGAGAGAACTGAGTAAGAAGAAAATAAACGAAATATTATACTAGAATAAGACTAGTAACGACACCGTCATCAACGTTCTGTAAAACAGTCTCAGAGGCGAATTGTGACTAGACATGAAGTACAGATATTAAACTAATTCTAACCAAAAATAGTTACAAGCCACGTATGCTTCCCAACCGCATAAAAAAATCTTACTTCTTTTGCAGCGTTTGAATCTTTGAGTAAACATAGAAGTAGACAGAAAAGTGCTATAAAACACTTATCCAATAAAATTTCATGAGTAAAAACTACGGCTTCAAATTTCTGCGACAGAAATAAGGCACCAGCAAATCACACTGTACTTAAAAAAAATGAAATCTTTTGAATCAAGCCCAGCCATATAGAATAGTGAGTATGCAAAAAAAGTAGAAGAAACCCTTCAATAAATGAGCAGTGATATCAGCATCTGCCTTAGCCATATATTAGTTGATCTTACCAAAAAGCGCATTTTCTATAATATTTTAAATACAACATTCTAGGACGCAAATGGCACATTTCAGTTGACAAAAAACAACAGTTAAGTGTTTTAATGAAAGATAAGAGTAAGGTTCGTCACGAGATTAACGTAGAAATTTCATTATTTATCCTCCTAAGTGGCCACAGCTCTGAGTACGGTGAAAAGTTATGAAGAAAACGAGACAAAAGCGATATTAACAATCCCTAAAACAATTTTCAAAACCAAACATTTTGTGCGGTACTGTCAGTTCTGGTCAAATAATTTTTGGAAATTTGGGATTGGTATTGGGGTGCTAAAACGCTAGGTGAACGATTGTTTCTGACAAATTCGTTTCGCTGAAAGTTCCCTGCCAATAACTCGTTCTTGGCTTGAAACTGCCTCGATCCAACAGCCAAAGAAGCATCCTTACTCGCCGATAATTTAGGCTCCTCCTCATCATCGTTAAACTGCTGATTTGTCCTCAAATTCGTCCACTTACTTTTAGCTGTCAAACTGACAGCTATTCGGTTAAACCAGTGCTCCTGAATGCCAGATTCCGTGCTCGAATGACCTAAAATTGAGACTATCTGGATGGGTAGATCACTACAGAGCATCGACAATTTTTTTCAGCAAGTAGAAGAAAATTCTTCGAAAACAAACGAATTAAGGAAGGAGATGAAAATTGACAGCGAAGGAGACATAAACTGGTTCTGCTTAAGATTCTGCCTTACATCAGGAAAGCACAATAGAAGAAAAAGGAAAGTACACATAAACAAAATTATTGACCCTTTTCCAGAAGAAAGCAAAAGATTTACCCGACGACGAACAGTTTATCTGCCTCCTGGCAGAACGCCTTTCATAAAACAAAAGATATACAGTGCTAGATTCGATTGTCGTAGGCGAAGTTACTTCCTGAACTACTGTGTCGTCAAAGTACCGCCACTTGCCGTCTATTGGATTTTTGGTAGTAGCTGTGTAATGACCTGAATCAGTTGAGGTACCCATATGATGTACAATACCAAAAAGGTCGTAAACGTTGTCCATGTTGACATCAACATATACAGCATCGGTTGTTGCCCTGCAAATGATTTTGTATAAGTTTTTAAGGAAATGCCCAACATTGTTTGTCACAACTGAGCTTCAAACAAAGGCTTCAATCCATTGTTCGAGGAAAAGTACATTGGTAAAACCCACCTTGGCTGCCGGTTTTGCTGCTGCCGAGTACTATACTGTAAAACGGAAAGCATATCACTAACAGCACGTGAGAAAAAACAAGTAATATTGAATAAAACTTTGAAAAAATGATTTTTTTCAACGCTCTTGTAATTGTAACCGAGAATATGTTCAAAAAGAAATTTAGTTGAAAAAACTAGTTGAAAGACTAACTTCATTCGTTTTTTCTCCATACTCATGGTATTCCTGACTAATAAAAGGAGACATATTTAACGCTGCAGTAGGATAATCAATTTTCCGCGCCAATTTGCCCATCGATCCGTCTTTTAGCTAAAAAAATAACAACTAAAAAAAACAATTAATTTTCTTTATTAAACTTCATCCCCAAAAGCAACTAATTACATTTAGATACAAAAGTTAAAAAATCAAATCAAAAAATCACTCGCCTGTCTAAACCTCTTCAAGTGAAAAACAAGAACTTCAGGCAGCGACTCAAACTGCATTGTTTTTTCTCCATGTTTCCCTTCACAATTGCCGCAAGTCCAGACTAACGGCTCGGGATGAGTATACTCCTGAAAAAATTTGAAACCTCACTTTTTAGTGTTCATCAACGTCATTCAACCAAGTGTGACACATGGTGGACTGCACAAACCTTTAAACAATCTGTCAGAGTTGTAGATGCCCCAAGATCTTTGAGAGTTTGATACGATGGATGGAACTCAGTTTCCCGATACTCACTTATTACCCAGCTAAAAAAAAGAAACTTGAAAGATCTGTCTGTATCACACTCTAGAAAAAAATCAAAAACTTATTTTTGACATCAAGGAAAGATCAAGGCAGAAACCAATGTCCCTTGCTGTTCATAAGAATACCTCAAAAAAGATATATTGCGCGTCATGAGAAGGAGCTGCAGTATAAGCGTAGATTCATTATACTCGTTGCTGATCTCCACAAGCGACCTGCACTTGTCAACAATAAAATCCCAGATTCTGTCAAAATGACGATGGCAAACAACTAATTTTTGAATAATTTCCATGTATATTAAAACATAACTTTTACCAAAGTCAGGCCAAACTGATACTTGGTTCAGAAACCTATGCTAAGGTGAGAAAAAAGATTAATTTCAAGATCTCATTTTTTAAAAAACATTTTTATGAAGAGGAAATTTACTTATTAACAGGATCGTTACAAAGCGGCTTGGAAGCACAAGGATCAAGATAAAAAAGCTTCCTCCATCCATCGAACACAACCAGTTGAAAGGAACGAAGGTCAGGAAACCTGATATTATAATCACTTTCCCTGCACCTTTGTATTGCTTCAAGAAGCAAATTACAAATCTCTTGATAGTCAGCGAAACGCGAAACCGAACAGACGAAAGGCTGAGTGATCGGGACTCTGCAACAAAAAAAAAGTCGCTATGCTAACACTAGTGAAGTGTCCGTTCATCTAGTCAGGTCTGAAGTTCTAGGTTTAACTGCGAAAAACTGGGAAAAATAGACCTTACCCATGGTCTCGTTCGCCATTACCTGACGAATCAACCACCACAAATACTATAGCAATTTTGTCTCGACTAGATGGAGTCATTTCAATGGCGAACAATTCGCTGCGATCTAAATTTCTGATAGTGGTAGAACGATCAAGGAAGGTAAATCCAAATTCACTAAGTTGCGTTACAATCACCTAAAACAGACAATGTCATTGATATCAGACTATTTGCACTTGTAAGCGCACTTCAAAAATCTGTAGCTGAACGAGCAAGTAGACAAGACGTGGAACTCCCACCACTAGTCCATTCAACACAAGTCCATTCAAAATAAAAATGCCGAAGACAACAAGATTAAGTCTTGACAGTTGCAATCAGCAAATTATCGCTAAAAAAGCTTTTCACTAACCAGATTCCCACTGTCAATAAACCCGCGGCTAATGCACTCTTCAACATCCTTAATTTTGCCTTTCATTTTGACCTTCAATCCAAGACAAAACAACTTTTGAGGTTTGCGTAGTCTGGCAAGTGTTATAAAGACAGGGGTTTCCCTTAAAAAAATTTTTTTGAGAATGAACGGCACAGTTAAGTAAATATGCCAGATTTTCAAAAATATCTCCCGAATCAAACTAGATGAAAAAAATAACAAAACACAGATGCTTCAAAAACAGCAAAACCAACTGTTCTGGAACCTGAAGAGAAACGCAAGTGAAGGGATCAGGTTTGGTCGTCCTAAAATGGCAACTCATACATTCAACGCTTGACAAAAAACACGCTGAGAAAATATTCGTTATAGCTGATCGATGTTCATTACGCTTCAGTGCAGAAGATTCTTCAAAACGCTGTTCCTAAAAGAACGAAAAAAGTCTTGACTCCGATATTCAGATGAAAAAATATGACCATGGCCTAAGTGTCTTTAAAAAGAAGCAACAGAAACACTATCGTTTACCGTCAAGTCTGACGAATTCCAAGAAGACGGAATGTCCAGCTCCTCGTGTAATCTATCTAGCAACCAGACAAGAAGTTCCTGAGCATCCTAAAACAACATTTACATTGCACAAAACTAGTCCTAATTCTTTGTTATGTACTGATACAATGAAAGAATAGAACTGCGATAAAAATTAAGACAAGAAGTTTATAAACTTTTAAGTAACTTTCCAAAATTTTAAATCATCTATGATAAAATAAAAAGATGTCCACATTCCCAACAGTCCTTGAAGTTTTGTCGCTTTACATACGTAAACTTAGGTAAGCAAAATTCAAATGACCTGCTGATAGTTTGCTGCGTAAACGTCGTTATACAATGCAATAGCAGAGCGAAAATCCTGAATGCACTGTTCACTCGGCTCGTTGCACCAAAGGGCTTTTAGAACTTTATGGAATGCCACGGCAACACTGTTGCTTCGGATACCATCCAAAGATTTGAACTACAATTTCAGAAAATAAAAAAAGTGACAGAAAATCTATATCAAAATCTAAATTTCTACGCTACACCTACCTTAAGATCCTTTCGGTAAGCGTTTGTGACAAAATATTCGGCTAATGTATCAGCAACAGATAGGCACTGGAGAATTGAATTCATATAACAGGTGTTGCCCAGGTTCGGTAAACCTAAAATTTCACTGTAGTCAAAAAACTCTCATGATGAGCAAACAAAACGGTTTCTCAAAAACTTCCAGCAACCTTCTCTCTACCTTAACTTTGTCTAATAATTTGGTACTTGAAATCAAAAAAAATGTTCCACTTTGGTAGCCCACTTTCTTCTCTTTATCCCCAAAAATTAGAGCAAGCTTGGAGACACCGGACTCCCGGAGCCAACTCTACGAGAAGCTTCTTGTGGTTAGACAGTGCCCTGCGCAGTCAACACTAACAGTGCTTCAGCGATGTGTAAAATAGCCTTCTCGCAGGTAAATGAAAAAATACTGCCTCCACTAAAAACATTAGTGACTAAGATCGAGGAGCGATGGATACTTGCATGCAGTTCTAGAAGGGTTCCACAACTCTATGTGGAGAGGTGGGAAGCATAAATGCCAATCGCTGTTTTGCACAGCTGCTTAATGTTCGCACACAAATACTGCGCTTCTTTCAAAATTTTCAAAAAATTAAACTGCCATGAGCTGACAACCCACGTACTTCCAGGATAAAATGAAATTGAAGAAATCACCTATTAGGTATTTAAGAAATTTTAAACCACAGGTGGTCTAAATTGTCTGAAATATCTCGCAATTTTTTCGATATAAATTATGCAACGTAACATTCTTAAAGACTACGTGGGGTCCCGAAATGCTCTCTGTGCGCACGTTTAAACTTGTACCACGAAGACTAGGTAATGTTTACGTGAGAATCACGTTTTGAACCCAAATTTAAAGAAAAGTTTAGAAGCAGAGTTTCTCAGAAACTAAAAAACATTTAGAAGCACATTTTTGCATGTTTGAAAAAAAAAAGTAGAGCTTTTCAAAATATAAAAAAGTTTAAGAACACAGCACCCCTGAATTTTACAAGAAATTCAGGAGGCAGAGTTATTTGAATTCCATACAAAATTAGAAAAGATAATTGTTCAAAATTCAAAAAAAATTTTTAAAATTTTAATCATCTTATTTACAATAAAGATTCATTAGCTGCCGACGCTCACTCGTTCCAACTATTGCGATCAGTAGAAGCGAAGAGCCTTGAAAAAGAAACGAAGCCAAACCCTCTGTAGTAATTTGTTCACAGAAGTTCAAACATCGTGTCTGTTTGGCATAAAAACTGAGTTCTGATAACATGTGTAACCTTCAGCAACAACTCTTGTGATTCTCAACAAATTCCTTTCAAAAACATTTAACTGTTTTGAAATGTTTAAATCAAAGTTTCATTCAGTCCTCATCCATAATACTGATCTGAGCAACTACTGCATTCATGAAAATATTTAAACTATTTTACCTGTCACACAAGGCACTGATGGAAGGAAGACCGGAATACTGTTGGAACCCGTCGGGGAATCAAATCCGCTTTCTGCATCCTCGGCAAACGTTCGGCTAGAGCCAGACCGGGAAAGCCTTCGCTGATGATTTCCATGCCGACTGGCGCGTTCATCTGCACTTCGAACAAAGCTATCAGGTGCCGATTCACTATTCATCAGATGTGTTTTCCCGCTCGTTCGTATAGTCGTTAACGAATTATTCCTTTTTAGTGAATAATCTCTCTAAAAAGAACCAGTAGAAAGCAATTTCTGATTGATTTCAAACTGTTAACCCAAAATAAAAAAGCTGTAAATTAAATACTGAGGTAAAAATGAGGTTAACTTTTGCCTATCATTTATCACTGCTTGTAAAAAATGGTCATAAGGCTTATATATTCAAATTTTTTTGAAATAGACGTATTCCTTTGAATAAAAAAAACAAAAACTTCCAACCAACTTAAATAACAAAGATGCAAAAGCAGAAAATAAATAGAAATATTTTTGATTTCATGAAATATAATTAGTCTAAAAGAGAGAAGTTATCAAATATCTATAAAAAAAGCTTTCTAAAATTGAAAAGGCAAAGACTTTATCTCTAGCTCTTGCTTTCAACAAACAAGAAAAAAGCGTCAACAAAAGAAAGTTAAGATTCATGGAATAAATTTGTCTGTTTTGCTAATATTAGTAATGTCCTGTCTATAACTTATGAACTATGTGCAACTTCAGTGCAAAGATACAGCGCTTATTGATGGTAAACAGTCAAAAAGCGCCAATTCTAAATGTTCAAAATTGCTGCAGCTGCTATCTACTTACCTGAGACGTTCGGCCATCAATATCATCTGTCACTTTGTCCCGTAATCGCGGTCTTTGTATACTCTGTGTCCCACCAGAACTGGACCTCGACCGCGAACCCGTTTTCCCCAATGATCGTGCGCCTCCACGTACCGACCCTCTCCGTTGCGAGTATGGCGTTCCAGTGTTGCTTGCCACCTGGTAGCCATTCTGAAATCTTCTTCACTCTGTGCTCAAAGATCACAAATTACAGCCGAAGTAACATGCAAGTTTTCATAAGATTCATCATTCAGTTGATGCTCCTTTAGCACCCAGTTCGACAGTCATCATCTATCTTTCCTGATTTTTTCAAATAATTTATGTAATTTTTTTCAAAATAAGATTATTCTTTAACATGAAAATATGCTCAGGAAAAAAAAACAAAGAAAATTCCAAGACTGGAAATAAGGGCGAATAAGTTACAGGAAAACGAGAAACAAATGTTCCCTTTTTCCTCTTTTCCGTTTCTTCTTTGTAAAAAACGAGGTGAATAAAATTACCGATGGTTGCAGTGAAAATAGACAGCCGAGGAAAAAAAGCTAGCGATGTAAAGCATATATCTAGAAGCCCCCAAAAAAGTTTGTAAATAATACATATTGATAGAATGCATTCGCGGAAAAAAAAGCAAAAATTTTTCAATTCTAAAATGAAATATTCCTTTCAAGAATAGTTGTTCCCAACAAACATGAAGTATTTTTGAAAGAAATTTGCTGTTGCTGTTTGAGTGGTAGTTAATATTAACGTTTGATTCCTACAAATTTTCTCAACTTTTTTAAACCTTCACTGCACGAAAATGTATGCTTTTGTTCATTTGTTTTTTTTTTTTTT